ACGTTCTTCCGCTTTCAAGATTCTTTCCAAAGTAATTTGTTGTTTATCTTGCTTACGAGTAAAAGTTCTGCAAAAAGCCTGAAGTGAAGGATGTCCAGCTGCCTGATCTGAAGTTGACACTAAGTCGACATCGCTATCCATGACCGCTTCAAAATGTGGTTCATACATTTCGTCTATATCCATTGGCATATCTTCATTAGACACTTGATTTTGCGACATTGGCTCTTCGTGACGGCAAATGTCTTCGAAAGATGCGGTCAGCATACGTTCATCGTTATTATCGCAAATATTATCGGTACCTGGCGTCTGTTTCGTCACAGCAAAGTGACCGTCAGGGCAAAGAGAAATGGATTCACCTTTTTTAAGCCATGTAAAATCCGCACATAAGACTTGAATTGTGGGAGACTCATAATGAGAGAAGAGGTGTTTTAAGCGAATCAGTGGGAGTGCTATACTTTCAGACATCGATGTAGTGAAGACCACAATATCCTTTGCCCTTGCGGAAAGCCATTCCTGTTTCTCTCTTGTTATCTGGAGTTTCTCGGGAGCAAAGTACTTATTCCTTTTAGCGTCGAATTGCACATAACTGAACTCCCGTGAAAAATACTCTGCCTCCTCTTTTCTTTTCTTGTGATCAAATTTCAAAAGGACGATGACTATTTGGCTATCCAGTAGTTCTTTCTCGCTTGGTATAGAAAGCGTGATGGAGTCAGGTGGTGCATCAGTTAAAAATCTGTCCAGAGTGCTCTGTCCCTAAAAGACTGATTTGAAAATGGCAATACACCAATTATGTTGATACCTGAGGAGCCTCGCGCTCGCAATTTGGCCAATTCAAGAGAGATCCGCATTTGAGCCCTACATCGCCACTGTACATATCCCAAGCGATGGCTTCCCCAACACGGTCAGTGGCTTCCAACGGCGGCGCAAGCGCTTTAGGTCCTCCCACAGTAAAGAACGCTTTGAATGTATCTGCGATTCTTCGACCACCTCTCTGCGCATTCGCATCGTGCTGGGCTTTGGGCCAAAGAGACTTGGAAAATTTGATGAAAGTTCTCATTTCGAAGGACCCGCTTTCTCCTTTCTACAAAAGATATTTACTTCAAAGACATGTTGAAGTCATGGATCTGAGCATACACACCTCCCTCGATTTAGTGTCCAAGATAACCACGCCATAATCACTGAAATCCATATTCTGCATAGCCTTGCGATCCTTTCTACAACTTTCTGGCACTTGCAGTTCCAAAAACTGCAGCGACGGCGTGTTTTGGAAGGTCACGTTAGCTATTTCGGATATGAATGGCACACACGGAGAAATCTTGGGATCTCCGCAGATGGTTGTAGCACATAGCAAACAAAGAAAAGCAAGCGATAGCTGCATGAAGTACATGAAGACTGAAAGACCAATGCGAACAGAGGGTTTACAAAGTCCTCGGAAAAACTGAGTTAATCATTCTCACATGCACAGGTGTCAGGAGGCCAAAGAAGCCACACATTAAACTTTCTTTCAATTTCTAAATAAACCCTCCAACAATTCTTCTTTCGATCATGACTACACCACCGCTTTTTAGTTTGTTTCGATTGCTTCCGCACTACTTCCGCTTATTCCGCTCCATAAGATCAAAAAGACTGCAGAAGTATGCAAAACAAACGAGGTAAGGACAAAAATGCAGGCGGCATGCTAAATCTAAATTTAGCCGCTGGCATGCCACTGGCATGCCGGCGGCGACATGCCGGCTGCATGCCAGCGGCGGGAATTCAAATTGTGCCGAAAACAAACAAAAGCCTTATTTACAAACAAAACGCAATCATATGACACCAAATTTGGTGTGTACATGCGCGTTGGGGGACCCGAGCTACAGCCTGAAAATCTATGAAAACTTATGTGAATGGAAGCTGTGCCCAACTTTTTTCTGAATTAGCTGGAACGGTGCCAGCTGGGTGCCAGCTCAGCTGGCACCGACCCTTTGCTCACATAAGTTTTCATAGTTTCTTACATAAATTGTACCTACACTTCAAAAGTTTACATACAGTGAAAAAACAATTTCATAATGTTTCTTTTTCGGCGTTTTCCAGCCATATGAAAATTTCCCGTTCTGTTCAACAGTTGGAAAATATGCTCCAATCACAATGCGCGCCCTATGCGAATGCAGCGCGAATCTATCAATTTTATTTCATCACTTTCGTCGTTACTGTCATCTTGCATTTTTTCTTGCTGTTCTTAGTATCTTTATGCTTGTTTTGTTCCAGACACGTCCTGGAAACCCTGCGGACTCTGCTGAAGCGCAGATGAGGAGGTCGGAGGTTACGCAGCCAAATCTGTCTCGCTGCCTCTTGCATGAGAAGCTGGAAACGCTTCAGTGCTGCATCTCTTTCAAACGAAAACATCATGATCTTTGCGATAACACGATAGTTATCAGTGGAGGTGAGTGCTTCAAAGTCTTTTATGCACATTCTACCTTTTAGGCATTGTAGTGTCTAAGTGGGGGTTATGGTTGATACTTTCTTGACAGTAGCTCGTAGGGGTCTGCTTCATTTCAGAACAATCTGAGGATCAGTCTGAGGATTCCAATCCCGGAAACGAAAATGAGAGGATCGAAACTGCTGAGGACAGCGACAATGTCAAGAGTGCTAAGAATATAGAGGTATGTGTCGTTGTTTACAGTATTTCTATTAATTTTTTAATTTTTAGGATATGGAGCCGACTGGTCGCTTGCATCCATTTGGCGAGTTGCGATTACTCCACCATCCTGATACTCTACTTTATGTTCCTATCACTCAGGTAATTCAGCATCAGAAATATTGCTCTTTTTGTAGCCAGCAGCATTCTTAGGATCGCAATCCTATGACTGAAGACATGCTAAATGAGTATACCCGGTATTTTTCATTTTTGGATGATGGAGATTCTAGGACTCGAGCTCAGCTTGATGTACTTTGCAGCGATATGCAAGCTTTCAAGGTTCGTTTCACTCAAATTTTCCCCCATTTTTATGAGATTTCCAAGACTTCTCTAGGCGGCGAATCCGAAGTGCTGCTTGGAAGATTTTATAAGATGGCATTCTCCCAAGGATTGGAGTGAGGAAGAGGGTATCTCAGAATTGGCTAGTTGCATTTCTTACCTCGAATCGTTATGTTGCAGAGTGTTTATCGGAGAGAATGCAACTTCTCGATAATACATGGGTGAAATGCTGGAATGAGGCAATGCCCATACCTGTAATCAATCAAGCCCGTCTATTCAACGAGACAAAGATTGCTGAAGAGGTATATAACACTATTCTTTCTTGCACTACGCCCCAGACAAAGGTACTAGGTTTCTCTTTTCTCTCACACTGGTGGTCAGAAATCTTTCATTCGATAATTATCCCAACCCCTCTCATCACAAATCGTGTGTGTTTGATTCTCTTTTTTTTGCGTAATAACAGGGAAAAACTCAGGGTTGTTGCTTTGACATTTTTATAACCGCTTTGAAATCAAATCAAGAAACCTGGTCCACCTTTGCAATGGAGCCCACCGCCTAAAATATTTTTTGTTGAGCTAAGAGGAAGCGGTTTGTTTTGTCCATTGGAATCTCCTCATTAGGTATTTGGAATGTGCGCTATCAATCATGAAAGTATCAAGACGAAAACTGTTGAAATTCATGCTTAATAAATGGATTTCAAAAATGAATTCTCAGGAACTTCATGCTCACAACAACAGCATGATGCGTACGGGACAGTCAGGTGATGCGAAAGCAAATGCCGTTAGTAGTAGGCCTCCAGGTATAACTAAATATTCAATACAATCTTGTAATCTGCTTATCTCCACATATCTAGGCTCCTTGTCCCAAGCAGAACTTTGTGGCGAAGAACATCCATCACCTAGGCTGCCGAAGACCGTTGTTCGTAAAAAGGACGACAAAAGCACTGCTGCTCAGTTATTGTTGTCACAACTCATGAATGTTAGTTTTTACTAGATAATGCGTTTGAGGACGAATAGAAGCATAGTAAAATCAGTTGAGGTCCAGCCAAAGACCAAAACTATGAACCATCTTTTTTGCAGTCGCAATCACAATCTCCATCACATGTTACGGTGTCAGCCGATTGGCTCAGCGCATTCCTACTTAACAATCCCATTCTGCTCCCACTCCTACATCATGGATATACTGAAAATGGAGACACAGAGGTATGGACTTTCATTCTTGGTAAAGGTGACGTCGCCGGTGCACTGAGGCTTACAGTTTACTCAGTGTGGATGTTTTCAGCACCTATTTCTCTTGTATACCATATAGCCTTTGCTGCGTCTATTTGTAAACATTCACGTATACGGAAGACTTGATGCAGTATGTCCATCTTGACTAGAAATTTGGAGTTTGGCCGAAGTTTTTTCTTCTCAAAATATTCCATCTCACTTACAATGTGGCCTAGAAATATTCAAAGAGTAGTAGTATAAACCATGCCCTGGAAGTAGTGTCGTCCTTACAGCAGCGGTGAGCTAAGGGAAAAGAGGAAGGGGCTTTCAAAATGGTGTAAATAATTGTAAAATCGTGGTACTCCATTTGTTCTGGCGGAAAGCCTAGTTCATTTCTACAGTAGCAAATTTTATAATGCAGTAAAAACCTCTCTACGTTCCAGGTGACTACGTCCACTTCCATCGATGAGGAAGCAAGCAAGAATCTTCTCAACAATAACAATATCAAATTTTCTGAGTTGAACGTGAAAACAGAGAACGATGTGGTGTTCAGTGCACAGGAGTTAGGTATTGCGTCTGGTGGACAGGTGTGTGTGTCATCTGTTTTTATGGTCATTGCTCACTTCTTGTTATATGAAGACTTTATTAGAATATTCTAGGTGACTGAAACCGACTCGTCACCAACTCAAAGTTCCAAAGAAGGCAGCCCTATCACACATGACTTCGCCCCATCATCCAATGTAAGCTTTACATCAAAAGGTGTAGAAACTTGTTTGTTGAGTGCCAACCCCTTATTGGTTAAGGGCTGCTGCACTGATGAGTTCAGTGGCCTTCCTAGGTTTTACAATAATATATTTCTTGCTGGTTATGCTCAACATCTCTTTTGGTAGAAGAAGGCGAGTATCTCAACATTCACCAGCTGCCGCTTGGGCAATGTCTTAGTTAGGGCCCCAAAATTACTCCCCACTTCGGAACCCCTTATGTCCAGATTTGCCTGGACGCTGCCTTTGAGCCAGTTCAGCAGTTTTGCCTGAAAATTCGTTTTTCAAATTTGTGAGAAGCTTAGATTTTCGTCGGTCATACCGACCTCTTTCTTAGCCAAATGTAAAGACATCTTTAACATCATTTACTCGCAAGACATCATATCTTTCGGTCTTCAAATTAGCGTTATAGACATTGTGGACAGCGGCAGAAAAGGCAGCGATAAATAACAAATTGGATGAGCTGAATCGCGCTACTGACGAACTAAAGCAAATGCTACTTCTCCATAAATCCAATTCGAAGAAGCCCGTCATGGCGACCCTCAGCCACTGCGACATCCCTATCGCCTTACTTATTATTCTGATCTTTTGCGTTGTTAAAACGTCTGGACAGTATTTACCTGCTGGAGAGAAGAAAGTGATGGTGAGTTGTTTTCGTTAATCAGTAACCGCGTTCAGTACTTTGTTTAGGTATGCGGTTGTGAACTGACAGTATCATGGCAGGATCTCACATTGAACACCATCTTCCTACTTATCAGCATTCTAATCAACCAGCTGGTAAGTCACCAAAAAAGAAATTTATCGTATTTATTCCTTTGTTTCAGATCAAACTCTACCAAGACAAACAAAAATTGAAGAAATCCCTGAAAGAAAAGGAAGGAAAGGAAGGCGCAAAAGATGGGGCTGGGGGTGGCGGCGCCAGGAGTGCGCCGTCGAACGGTGGCTTCTTCCCCTGCACCTGCCCCGGATGCTTGCTCGGTCACAACATCTGGGCCGCAGCATCCAGGGCAGGTGCCTCTCCCTTGCCACAGTTCGTCGGCGCACTCCTAGCGCCGCCACACCCAGCCCCATCTGCCCCACCCCCTTCCACCTAGACCATAAATAATTTCATTCAATTTCGTTATATCTGCATATATCCCCTTAATCGCTAAATTTGAACTCTAAATCCTATTCAATTCTAATTCAGTCTTTAAAAGCGAAAATCTCAGATACTGACAACACGGTTCTTTTTGTTCTCTTACATGACTGAAAGAAACTTTGAGCCCCCTTTTGGCCAAATTCGTGTCTATTACTCATTTGTTCATGAGATCAAAAGTTTATGATACATCATAAAAAGGTAGTTTTTTCTACATGATCTTATTTTTGCTGAGCATTTTCTAAGCCTGGCTTGCAAAAATCGGCGCCAATTTTGGGTCCAACACTTTTCTCGCGGCTTTTAGTGAAGCTCGTCAAATGACAAAATTGCATTCACTGATATTTTCGTCACAGGTCGCACATCACTAACACTCAATACGTAGTGATCAATCTCTAAGAACTTCGCCATATCTCTTTATATATATATCCCTTTTTGTTCACTTACATGTGAAGATCTCAATAGATAAAGTTGTTGTTGTGAGTTGTTAGTTGTTGATAAAGTTGTGAGTTGTTTATTGTAATCAGCATGCGTAAAGACCAGGGTTGAACAAGAGGTCAGGCCATCACTTGAAAACGACTTCTTCTTTTTCCTCTACGCCTCGGAAACCTCAGAGTGCGACATTCTGGAGGACATCATCCTGTCCTAAAAAGATTAAACCACTTAAAAAGCTCAGAAAACTAGTGAAAAGTTTTTAAATGGAATCAGCATGCAAGAAAACTCTTTTACATACTTTTAAAGAATCCAAAAGTAATAAGGGGACTTCAAAACAGGTCAAAGGGGACTTCGTACGAAATTTTCAAGGTCAAGGGGGACTTCGTTTTGAAAATTTCCTGGTGCCAGCTCGTGCCGAGCCCTGCTAACTGACATTCCGCCAGCTCGTTAGGAAATGCAATTCAAAGTAATAGGTAATTGATAATATATCAAAAAAGAAAATAAGACTAAGTTGATAAACAAACCAATAAACTTAACTAAACGTCATAAGTGATCACTCACCGCCATTTCCAGAAAGTGCGCAAGCATCGACATAGCTTTTCGCACCATCTTGGAAATATTAGGTTGTGACATAAGTCTTGTTACACTTTTTCTTTTCCTTGTAAAATCAAGTAGAGACAAGTTGGTGATCCCATATTTGGGGTATATAAAGAATATGCAAAAGTCATTTTTTATACATCATCTCAACCCAATAGCTGCAAGAGATATGTCTTCCACGGCGATTTCTCGAGAGCACCTTCACGTGCTTCTACTTCATGAGTACCGTCTAGGGTCCTCAGCGCGCAGAGCCGCTGACCGTATCAACCACACGATGGGCCCAGGCAGTGTCTCTCATATGACAGCGGCTAGATGGTTCAAGCGGTTCAAAGAAGGAAGCACTAAGTTGGAAGATGAGCCGCGCTCGGGACGCCCATGTTCGTTCGATCCGACGCTGTTAAAGGCCGCTGTTGAAGCAGATCCCAGGCAGTCGAGCAGGTGCTTGGCAGAGAAGTTCGGGCTCTCTTATAGGACAGTGGTTCGGCATCTGCACGATCTCGGATTGGTGTGGAAGATGTCGGTATGGATTCCGCATGAGCTGTCAGCAATGCAGCTTCGAACTCGGTGTGACATCGCATCTTCTCTGCTCTCTCTGAAGCGGACAACAGCGTGGCTCAGGAATCTGGTGACGGGCGATGAGAAGTGGGTGCTCTATGTAAACCATCATCACGGTCGCCAGTGGCTCAAGCCTGGGAATTCTGGAGTTCCGACGCCGAAAAGTGGATTGCACCCAAAAAAGGTTCTTCTCTGTATTTGGTGGTGTGCGAGTGGGCCGATCCACTGGGAACTTCTGCCGTTGAATTCAACAGTCACGGCAGAAGTCTACTGCAGACAACTCGAGACGGTGGCGGCAAAACTTCGTGGGAGAATGGATCGAATCTACTTTCTCCACGACAACGCTCGACCCCATGTGGCTACCGTCGCCCGTCAGAAGCTCCAGGAACTTGGCTGGACAATTCTGCCCCACCCGCCGCATTCACCAGACATGGCCCCAACAGACTACCACTTATTCAGATCGCTTCAACATTTCCTCGATGGAAAGGCGTTCACCAATGATGACGACCTCAAATGCGGCCTTCAGAATTTCTTCGATCAGAAGACAGAGGGTTTCTACAGGAAGGGCATCGAAGATCTTCCGATTCGTTGGAGATACATAGTTGATCACGATGGTTGTTATTTTGTTGATTGAGTTTGTAAATAAAAAGAGAAAATTTCGTTGAAAAATTTTTCGCTTAGTGTAACAAGACTTATGTCACAACCTAATAGAATCGTTCATTGAGCAGTGCTCAAGCAAATGATTACAAATGAAATGAGATGATGAAGATGAAGTAATGTGTGCCTCAGGAAGTGTCCAAGATTTTGGGTAGAGGCCGGACGAAGGGTAGTAAAACGTGAACTAAAGTTTCTCTGATTGACAACTTTTATAAAGCATCTTAGGTCCACGTCATATACTGCATGATAACAGGGAATCAACCATGTTTAATTCAACAAGGTTTCACAGATTACAACATGTTGCAAACCTAGCGAAAAGTGTTATTGAAGCGATACGCAAAATAAAGGTCGTGATTAACAATTAACAATTAACAGTTGGTAGTAATGGATTTATGCACTTCTGTTAGGGACAACTTGGAATTCTCGAAATTGATTGTCATGGTAATAGAAGCTAGAATAACACTACCAAACTGAGAGAAGTAGAGAATTATATTACTAATGATACCACAATGAAGATCTATATTCTAATCAAAAAATATTTATCAGGAATTTGCTCTAAAGGAATCATTGTGAAAAATTTTAGTTCAATGAAAATCAAAACCTTGTAAGTATCCTCATCTCCCCACGAACTGCGGGGGCCGAGGCACGCGTAAAACGTTGCGAAAGAACAACGCCTAGATTTGCAATTTTAGGTATCTGTCTTGCATCGCTCAAAAGTACCCGAGAAGAGCCGAAAAGGGACTAAAATTGCCGAAGCGGCCAAAGGTGTCGAAAAACGTTCTAAACTACTGAAAAGGACCCAAAATTGTTGAAAAATGCCCAAAAGCGCTAGAACTTCCCTTCTCATGACAATTAGCTTCGCGAAACATCGATCAATATCAAAAAGGATAGATCACCATTTAGATGATAATGTCGAGAACTGTCAATGTCAGCACTAGTTTCAACATAACACTTCTTGGCAACTTAATATGACTAGATAAGCTCGCCTAGCGAGCATATTCGATTGATTTTCACCTAAGTCAAGATGCTACGCTATCCCGATGAACGTTGAAATAAACTGTGGGCAAGGAAGTGCTAGATGATGTGTTGTGCACATTGACTGTTGTGGCGACTGGATATTTGCTACACAAAAAAAAAGAAAAAAGAAATAAAGGTAAACAATACTTACTTCTTTGAGCCTTGATCGACATACTGTGAGCCTTCATTAACAGCCCAGCTGAGAATGGATATCCGGCTTTCATTGTAAAGCGATGAAACGATGAGATCTTCGCAAACTAAACGCAGTATATCACTTGCTGGTCGTCATTTATAGGAGTAGATGAGCTTACATTACAGAATCTTCTTGAAGAATTTGATATGAATAAGCTGAGTAGCATGGTTTGATGGAGAATGTAAAGCTAGATTAATATTAGGTTGTCAAGAAAATAATGTCCGTTTTCATTTGCTTGCTTTAACAAAGCAACCAGACTCAACCCAACAAAGGGTAAGGGGTACTGTTCGATAGAGCAAAGCAAGCTCTACAAGATGGCACTCATGTCTTTGCGCCATGCTCGATCCACGGAGAGTTCGAACTCAAAATCTAAAGATTTCCAAATGCCCAAAAAATCGAAAAAAATCAGATCTTCGTATAATTTCTACGGACCTCTCACTCGCTCACATCAATACTATCGATATCTGTTATCCATATGTGCGATTGCCGTATTTTTGCCTTGACTAGAAACAGAGAAAACGAAAATTTTCCTGATTTTCTCAAAGCAAAGCTGAGCCGTTTTTGCATATGTAATTCCATACTACAAGCCTAGGTAAGCATAACTGTAGGTTTTCAGCCTATTTCGAGCGGTACTTTTCGAGACATGTCGATTTTAGCACTGAAACTGAAACGAAAAAATCCGAATTCGTTATTTTTCGAAAACTACCGCTTGGGATGGGCTGAAAATCTACAGTTATACTTACCTAGGCTTGTAGTATAGAACTACATATGCAAAAACGGCTCAGCATTGCTTTGAGAAAATCAGGGAAATTTTCGTTTTCTCAGTTTCTAGTCAAGGAAAAAATACGGAATCGCACATATGGATATCAGATATCGATAGTCTTGATGTGAGCGAGTGGGAGGTCCGTAGAAATCATTTGGACGAAGATCTGATTTTTTTCGATTTTTTGGGCATTTGGAAATCTTTAGATTTTGAGTTCGAACTCTCCGTGGATCGAGCATGGCGCAAAGACATGAGTGCCATCTTGTAGAGCTTGCTTTGCTCTATCGAACAGTACCCCTTACCCTTTGTTGGGTTGAGTGTAGTTGCTTTATTAAAGCAAGCAAATAAAAACGGACATTATTTTTTTTGACAACCTAATAGCTTGCCCTTCTGACAGCGAAGACTTGGAGTTTCTAGACTCAGGCACCTGGAGTGAACTAAAGATTCATAAGAAAAGATAAAATCAAAAACGTTAAAAGTCAAGTGATTAACGTTCAATGTTTAACATTTAATGTTAATCACAATGGAGCCAAAAAAATACTTCAAAGGAGACGTACCTCATCTCCTGCTGTAAGATGTGTACCGCTGGCCAGTAACAGGTGCAGCTCAAGTAGATAGTGATCGCTCAATAGTTTCTGTATCAAATCATACCTCGCTGTGTCCACACGACGATGAACGGGATATTTGGCGTTCTCGAATGGAACACAGTTACAATAAAAAAAATTTAACCGGCAAAAAGTACTAC